TGGAGCCAATTTAGAGTACTATATTGTGAATAAAAAATGCACTTTGCCTACTTCAAATGGAGCAGAACCTGTCAAAAGAGGGCAATCCTAAGAGTCAGCTTGTCTCTTCTGTATGCTTCCAGGTCTCATTTTGCAAACTGACTTCAGCCCAGGTCTGTCTGCAATAGAGCTGCATGGAGTAGTTTTAACAGTCAGAGGAAGAATAAAGGCAATTATTACTGAATCACTTTTAATATTATTAAGTGTGTTTTGGTGCATTCAGAATGCAAGGCATGAAAGTAAAACAAAAACACACAATAACAAAATATGCTCCAGCACAACAAAGTCAGAATCTAGTTCCTAGACTGACAGCTGTAGAGATGCTCTGAAGTAATTCCAAGTATCATCTCAGCCATTGGTGAGGGTCTGCTACCCGGAGGCGCCTGAAGCCCTCTTTGACAAAGCAGCTGGTGCTTAGTTACTAAGTGTTCATGGTGATTTTTAGAATGGTGGAGTGGACGGACGAATAGAGAGATAGGTGGATTCATTCACTTAATACATACTGAATTTCAACTGTTTTGCCAGGCATTGTGCCAAGTGCTGTTAGGGAGTGACATTTGAAATCTGAGATCTGAAAACTACATTGACATAAGTAGGTGATGGCTGTAGTCAGAGCTGCCCTGTGCATTGGACCCAGAGAAGAATGGGGAATTGGCAAGAATTGGGGAAGTGACCTATGATGACGATGCGGGCAAGACTTCCCAAATATGCTTCTAACTTCAGGGAGACACACATATCTCTGCCTAACCATAGCCTATTATTTCAAATCTACTGGGTTAATAGGAGAAAGAACACAAAGCATGTAATTGTGGGCTCTACATATACACCAGAAAGAGTATAGGGAAAGTTCGAGGTAGGGACAAGAAAGGAGAGTAGGCAGAATTCTGCCTCACTGAAGAGCAAAGTGAGACGGATTTTGATGGGTATAGAAACTGGTGCATTCCATTTGAGATGGCAAGTCCATAGTTAGGAATTTATTGTCCAGAATTATTTGCAAAGGTATATAAGGAAAAGAACAAATGATGAATCCACATGCCATTTCTTTCACTGGATCTTAAATAATGCAGTCACAGACACCCTAAGAGCTGAGGAGGTTCTTCCTTCTTTGAGGTTGGAAGTTGTCACTGCAGCTGAGTTACTGTTTTTAGCTCCTTTTGGGATTCTAAAACCCTATATAAAAAAATCCAAACCTTTTAATTTTCTTTGAACTCAAACATGCATTTATGGAGCACCTGGTGAATGCAAAACTTCGGCTCGGCTGGGAAGGGTGCAATGCAAGATAACTTAGATCTGCTACTCTGACTTGAAAGACTGTGTTTGAGAGAAGATTGATTTGTAAAAACCTAAAATACTGAAATTCAATGAAATAATGGCTGTAATACAGCATTATGGAAATATGGAATAGTGTAAATACAATACATTCTAATTGGAGGGATAGGGAGGGGTGGAGTCCTAGTAAATCTGGCCTTAGCCTTGAAACATGATGACTTTGGGAGGCTCAGAGAGAGGGAAGGCCAGTTTCTCTTCCTTTAGGTTGGAAGAGCATGAGCTGTTATTTATTTAGTAAGTCTTTACTGAGCATCAACAAGGTGCTGTGTGATATACAGAAGCATAAGATCTACTATAAAGAGAAGATAAAATACATCCCTGAGAGAAAAATCACATGATATTAAGTGATACTATGTGATTAGGTATCAGAACAGTCTACAGAGTCCAGAAGTAAAGCGGAGGTACAGGGTAATTTTTTGTTTTGATAGTGAATTAGCAGCTTTGAAAATATTTCAATGAAATTAGAAGGAGAAAGCATGAGACACAAGATACACACTATTTCTACTACTACTCCCCTTCTCTAACCTTCTAGATTTTATAAAAAGTTTTTACTTTTAATTACCTGATGAGAAATGCATAATATACAATTTTATTTAGAAAAATTCAGGGGATAAGAAGTAGAGTAAAAAGTAAAATTCTGCCTTCAAAATCTCTCATTCTCCACCCAATATTACTTCTTTTCTTAGAAGTAAGCACTGTTAAAAGCCTGCTGTGTTTTCTTCCAGAATGATTTTTGGGGTATTTATATAATAGGTAACTGTGCTGTGATTTCACATGCATGGTTATAAGTGCTTTCTGTACTATGTAAAAACTCAATACCTGTATTTTGGTGATATTTTTCTATGTTAGTATATAGATAATAGAGTACATAGAGTTAAAACTCATTCTTCATAACTAGAATCTACAGTAAGACTATACCTTGGCTATTTCACCATGTCCATTTTGATAGACCATAGATCTTGAGAGCCACTAAGATCTTACCTGATTTATTTAAATATGCAAAAAAGCAAAAAATGAGCCCCAACACTGAGTCTACTGAATAGACATCTTATTTGAACCTCTCATTTACAGCCCTTACTCACTTCTCTTGAACTGTCCCCTGAAAGGGAGACACAAGCAATCTTGGCACCCCCCTAATCTTCCAGGGGGTTCTGTCTGCAAAGTGTACCCAGTATCTGGGAAACATGCCTTGAGGCATCCGAAATCAGCCCCCACTCTCTGGTTTTGTTCTCCCATCCTCCCTCCAGTTTCCCTCGCTTTTGGTATTCAAAGCCAAGTATTTCCACTAAAAACACAAACAAAACAAATCAACAAAAACAAATAACACTTTTCATCTACATAGCAGCTCCTACAAAAGTGGTTTGACTTTCAACTCCACCATGAATTGAAAAAAAAAATTCCAGGTCCCCTTTTACCCTCTCTTTCAGAGATTCGTTGTCCTTCCCTGAAGCAGGGACACTAAGGTGATCACTGATATCTCAAAGGTGGAATGAAAGGCAGTGGGAAAAGCAAGTCCAGGGAGAGTGAGACCTCAGTTAATAACCTCAAATATGCCCAACCACAACAGGAACACTTCCCCAAATCAGGTATATTTTGTGAGCATCACTTCGCTAGTTGCCTGATATTCTAACAAATATAATTTACCATTCTCATTTTATTTTTTAAAAACTATATTGTATGTGTGGGGTCACAGGGAAGACAGTGTAGCTCAGAGAAGACACATAGGGACTCTGTGGCATCTTATACACTGATGGACAGTGACTGCATTGGGGTATTGGGGGGACTCGATTATAAGGGTGAATGTAATAACCACATTGTTTTTCTTGTGAAACCTTCATAAGAGTGTATATCAATGATACCTTAATAAAAAAATTATATTGTAGATGATCTATGACTATCATAAGACAAATTCCCCCACCTCCAATTTATATTATAATTTATATCATAGTATTTGTATTATGTGAAGGCTTTTGTTACAGAGTCCGAATTGATTTCCAAATAGTTGTAATTGGTTCTAGAAAGTGCTGTATTTAGATTAAGTGCTGGTAGAAACGTTAAAGACTCCTGCACCAACCTTGAAAAAGTTGTCTGTACTAGTCGCCACCACTTCCTCACCTCTTACTCATTCCTCGACTCTTTGTGGTCTGGCTTCTGCCCAGACTGCTCCACTGAAACTGCTTCTGTCGAGGATATTGTTGCTGAATATAAGTCCTTTTCTTGTTTGACTTCTCAGAACTATTTGACAGTCCTGGACCCCTCCTCTTCCAGGAGACTCCTGTGCTCTCTGGGTTCTCCTCTCCCCAGTTTCAGTTTCCTTTTTAGGTTCATCCTCTTTTGAGCTTACCCATGTTTCTCAGGGATCTTAGACCCAAAGATCTTACTCTAAAAACGCTCCTCCAGCATTATTACCCATCCTCACTTCTAGATGCCGAAGTCTCCTAACTCCATCTCCTTCTCAGCTCCTTCTCATCCATCTGCTTCCCAGACAGAGCTCCCCAGGAGGAGCTCCCAAGCCTATCTCAATGGAACAATGTTGAAATTATACTTATCATCTTAATCCGCCCTTGGTCCCCGCATTCCCTAATCTCACACCACATCCAAGGTGCCCAAGCCAGAAACATAAGCATCATCTCCTTCCCCCTCATTCCCCTCACACTGAGACTTCGCATTCTTGCTGTCTGATGCCAAATCTCTCTCAAATCTGCCCGATGTCCCAAGTCCTCTGCCCCTGCAAGTCCATGTTCCTATCAGTCCAAGCTGGAACAGCCGCCAACTTGGCTTGCTGCCTCTGGTCTTGCTTCTTTTCCTTCAACCCATTCTTGACACTGCAGAGAGCAAGCTTTCTGAAATGTGAATTTAATTACACCTTTCCCAGCCCAGAATCTTGCAGTTTCTCCTCATTGCCTCAGAATAAAATTCAACCCCCTTGCTTCCTGAGGAAGAGATGTAGGTGGACATGGACTTTAAAAAAGTAAAACTGACTCTGTGGTGTACAGCCCTATATGAGTTTGAACACATGGATAGATTTTGAGGCCACAACTCTCCATTACCACAAAACACTCCCTATTTTTATAAACACTCCTCTATTATTCCTCTATTATTTTTATAGTCAAGCTCTCCCCATCCGTAACCCAGACAACCACAGATCCATTCTCCATTGCTATAGTTTGTCTTAAAAAAAAATCTTTTGAAAACAAAACAAATCTAAAGCCCCTTAATGACTAAAGCTTTAATGACTCTACCTCTGGTCCAACAACTGCCTTCCCCCACTTTGCAATTAGACAACTATTTTCAGTTCTTCTGAGTTCTAAGCTTTCTTCCATCCACGGAACATCCTCCCCGCCCGTTGGATCGGGGAACTCATCTGTGCTCCATTCACTACAGAACTTCCACGCTGTTGTAACTGCTAGGTTTTTTGTCTGTCTCCTCCATCATCAGTTTCCTCCGCGCAAGGACCCTGTTTCAGGCATGTCTATAAGTCCAGCTTCCCTGGACGGGCCGAACCCCGCCACCGCAGCGCCCCACAGCCTCAGCAACCGTTGCTGTGGCTAGACATTCCGAGGCCCGCGCCGGGCTCAGAACGCCGAGCGCCGAGCGAGCATGCGCACTGGCGCGGGCCCAGAAGGGGGCGGGCCTCGGCCACTCGCCTTCCCCGTCCCTACCCCCCTGCGCCTGCGCGCTGCGGACAACCGTTGCCAGATTCCCCGCGCCATAAGGTTCGACGGTAGCCGTCGACACCCTGCCCATTCGGCCTGAGGTACCTGGCCTGGTGGTGGTGCCGGGACGTTCCCGTCGCATGGCGGAGTGCTGCGGATGTTGCCTATGAAGTCCGTAGTCCTTCTAGTTGCACTGTTGCTATGGCCTTCGTCGGCGCCGGCGTATCCCAGTGAGTGGCCGGCCCGAGGCGGCAGCGACCCAGGGGATTCCACAGGGGAACCCTCCCGGGTCCCGGCTCTTCCCCTTCCCAGTTGCTACTGCCCTCCCTGTTCCTGCACTACTCTGGCCTCCTGCGGAGGTGTGCTCCTGGCCTCGCGACCTCGTCCGCGCGGACCTGCGTGCGCGAGCCCGGCATCCAGGCTGTGGGTCCCAAACGTGGCTGGAGGCGCCAGGCGAGGCCCCCCGGGCTCGCGGGATTGAGCTGCGCACCCTGGCGGAGACGTCCCTGCGTGCGCGGCGTCGCCTTTCACCCGGGGCGCTGCCTGTGTGATGCAACAGTGGGTAGCAAGCTGGGGCCAGCCGGCCAAGACGGTCTGTGTCTGTATGGCTGGCTGGCTAAAAATAGTTTTTACAATTTTAAATGTGAATATGAAGTGTAATCTTTGGTGACATGTGAATAAGTATGAAATTCCAATTTTCTTTTCATAAATTAAATTTTACTGGAACACAGCCACGCCCATTCCTTTATGTATTGGCAATGGCTGTTTCCCCCCCTTATAGCAGCAGTTAGGTGGTGGACACAGACACAGTATGGCCTGCAAAGCCCGAAATAGTTATCGTCTGGCCCTTTAGGGAAAAAGTTTGCCCTTGGAGGGCATAGCACAGAGAGAGCATGTGGTTTGTGGGTGGCTGGCTGGGACACTCACTGATCTGTGCATGCCCACAGAGCATCCCCGCCAAGCAGGATCCAGAACCCTAGCTGAGTGGGAGTATAACTTTGGACTTGTCTCTCTCCAATAGCTGAAAACTAAAAAGGTCAAATTCAGGCGCACCAAGATTACTATGAATAACATCATGTGGACACCTTGAGGTATCCGAGTGTCTGATATCTGATATTCCAGATATGACTGTATACAATGTGATGATTTTATATATGTATATATATATATACACATTGTGAAAGGATTCCCACCATTAAGTTAATTACACAGTCACCTCACATATTTACCTTTTTGTGTGTATCATCAACTATAGTTATGTTACACATTAGATCCTCAGGCCTTATTTGTCACAGCTGAAAGCTTGCATCTTTACCAGGCTCTCTCCCTATCTCTCCCTTATCCCCAACCCTAGGTTACATTTCTTCAACTGTAACAATTAATACGAACACAATTACTTCTTTGTTCCACCTGTCAGCAAGAATTAAAATTTGAATTAACAAATTATAGGAAAACTGGTGAGTAACAAGATATGTATTCTTTGAGTACACCCAACTAAGCACAAGTTATTACAACTTTGAGTTGGAAGTACTTCAGCTTGATTATTTAAGTTTATTTTAATTGGAAGATTTTGGTGTTTTAGCTGGGAGTTCTTACATGAAGACAGCTTTCAGGTATTAATTCTTACTTGCAACATCTAATTTCTGTAGAGTAAGGGAAGTCTATTCTTTGTGAGCCCACCTCATGACCTGGATGGGAAGAGAAGCAATTTGTTCTCCAAAGTTAAGGACATTCAGCCAGCCTCTGGTCCACCTATAAACGATTCAATGCTTGGGTATGTTAAGTTTTATAGATATAGGTTCTTTATCGATAAAGCCATTCTATTTTTCATTCCTGTGGCAATGAAAATCCTAGTTATATTTGAATCTTTTAAAAAATGAGCATCCATGATTCTTAATTACATTATGGATACAATCACTAGTTGCCATTTTATCGAAGTTGCAGGCCAAGGGCCAAGTAAAAACAAGTGAGTTCTTAAAGCACAATGACCAGATGGATTCCATTGAACTTTAACTTTTTTGTCTTAATGTCCCCAATTATATGGAATATTTTGCTACTACCTCTAATTTACCAGGTATTTATTCTTGTAGCAAACCACAAGTTTAAATTAATAATATTAATGGGGTTCAAAGCTTTAGTTTTTAAAACATAAATTGTTTTTTAAGCACATGATCAGGTAGCACTCATATTGAGAAATACAGTCTTACTAAAAATGCAATCTTGAATTACAGTATTTTGAGTGTCTCTTTGTACAGCTTTAGTGTTACATTATGCATACATAACTTACCACAATCTATTGTTATCAACATTTTACCAGTTTGAGTGAGTATAGAAACCTTACCTCCATCCTCTTACCCTCTCCCATTCACAGTATAATTGTTTTGAACATTGAGAACCACATGAAAAATTATAATTTTTGCTTTTTGCTTCAACTGTTAATTTGGAAAGCTCAAGAAGGAAAAGCCTATTGCATTTACCCATATTTTTGCTCTTTCTGTTATCATTTCTTCCTTCCCAATGCTCCAGGATTCCTTATTTCACCTTTCTGTTTAGTGAACTTCTCTTAGCTATTCTTTTAGGGTAGGTCTTCTGACAAGTCCTCTTACTTTTCCTTCATCTGAGAAGTCATGATTATCCTGAAAATACCTGAAGGATATTTTCCCTTGGTAGAGAATTCTGGTTTGGCAGTTTCATCACCCTCTTTTTTTCCCCCGAATATTTGAAAAATATTATGCCATTTCCTTATAACCTCCATGGTTTTTCGTGGTAATTTGAAGTGTCATTCAAATTGTTTTTCGCCTAAAGAAAAGGTGTTGGTTTTCTCTTGCTTCCTTCAGGACTTTTTTTTCTTTGTCTTTAGTTTTCAGAACTTTGACCATAATATGTATGGGTTTCTTTGGGTTTATTTTGTTTGAGGTCACTCAGCTTGAATCTGTAAGTTCGTTTCTTTTGCCAAATTTGGGAACTTTTCAGACATTATTATGTCTTTAAATACTTTTTCAGACCCACCCTTTATTCTCTTCTTCCAAGACTCAAATGTGAATATGAGATCTTTTCATCATAGTCTCACAAGTCCCTGAGACTCTGTTAATTTTTTCCAGTCCATTTTCTCTCTGTTGTTCAGGTTGCATAATTGCTGTTCTGTCTTCCAGTTCACTTACTCTTCTGTTTCCTCCATTCTGTTGTTGAGTCTATGCATTTAATTTTTTCATTTCAATTAATGTGTTTTTCAATTTAAAAATTTTACTTTGGTTCTTCTTTATGTGCTCTATTTATTTGCTGGGATTTTCTGTTTCTTTGCTGAAACTTTCTTTTTTTTAATTTGTTTTAAGTATATCTATTGCTTATTGAAGCATTTTTATGATGGGTACTTTTTAATGTCTGTCAGATTATTCTACAATCTGTGCCATCTCAGTGTTTGCATCTCTTGACTTTTTTCTCATTCAAATAGAGGTTTTCCTGGTTCTTCTTGTGACCATTGACTTTTGATTAAAACTTGGACATTATGGGCATTACATCATAAGACCTTGGATCTTCATTAAACCCTCCACTATAGATTTAACTTGGTCTCTAATAGCACATCAGCAGTGGAAGAGGAACGTTGCATTGTTACCACAGAGTGGAGATAAAAGTCCAGCTCCTCACTCAATCCTTCTGTACTGGGAGGGAAGGTGTTAATTCATACCTGGTAGCAGCACTTCTGTGGGTGAGGGAAAAGCATCTGGAGCACCTCAGTGCATCCTGAAGAGGGTAGAAGTCTGGGTTCTCCACTCAGCCTTTGCTGGCTGGTAGTAGGGCTGCAGTGTTTTCTGTGGTGTTTGGCTGTAGAGCATTTATTGTATAAACGTTTTCTGTCTTGCTAGGCTACCCCTTTCCTTGTTCTTTGGCTTTGAAAGGGAGCATTCTTTTCTTGGAGCCTATTTTTGTCTGTGTCCATTGGTACTGTGGGGTTGCCAGCTCCTCCAGCCCCCAGTCTACAGTATATGCAGCAGAAAGAAAATGCCAGAACTCCCCGCTGTGTCATTCCTCGGGTCTTGGAGTCCCTGGTTGGTCTGCCTTCTTCCCTCCACCTTTCAGAGTCTTCTCATGCTTGTTTTGTATATAATGTCCAAAGTTTTTAACTGTGCTTTGTAGGATGAAGAGGGAGAAGGTAAATGTTCTCTATCTCTTTGGAAATGGAAGTCCAGATATATTGTTTTGAAACATTTTATTTGGGGTTTATGGAAAAGACTGTTTTACAAGTAAACAAGATTACCTAAGTAGGGCATCCAGCCCAACAACCCAAGTAATAAAACAATACTAGCCAAGATAAGTTTACAAATGTGATATTTTAATGTATGCAAATATTTAAAATCATGCAGAGAAATTTAAATGACTGGAATTTTCTAAATTTCTTTTATTTAAAAAAATTTTTTTATTGAGGTATATACAATAAAATGCACAAATTGTAGTGTACAGCTTAGTGGATTTTGACATGTGCATACATTCATGTAACCATCACCTAGATCAAGATATCAAACATTCTTGTGTATTTCTTTTCTTTTTCCCCTGTCACTTAAATTTCTTATATTTACAAAAGTAGGTTTATCCAGAAAGAAGTTATATGTGTAGAAAGGTTATTCATGTAATCATATGAATCATTAGGTCAACCAAATAAAATTCTTGAATGTCTTAAAGCTGCTTATATTTTCATCCATCTCATAAAATGTACTAATAAGGAACAGGCTTCCCTTCAACCCTAGTATTGTAATACTCTGCCAAGTAAGAATTGTCAGTTAAAACACAACAATCTCAAATTAAAGTTGAAGTATTAGAATATAGAATACATCAGACAACTGTGTATTTAACAACAAAACTGCTTTAAAAATTACAACTAGCCCCAAACAAGGTAATTTGGCTATTCATTAGTTGGAGTGGAATGTAGTCAAATTATACAAAGGCAGTTGTAATGTTCAACTTTGTTATTCAGTCAATACTTCTATACTCTTTGAATATTAATAACTTGTTATTGACAGAACCAATAATTATGCCAGTTTTAATCAAGATTTCCAGCTAAAGTAATGGTTGTATGGCTTACCATATTACAAAAAGGAATGCAATTATAATTTAAATGAGGGGTTTAAAAAGTAATGTAGGTATGTCTTAAATTGAGGTTAAAACTCAGTTGGAAAAGATTAGTAAAAATTCATGTCTTTACATATATATTTTCTAGTTCTGTTAACTAAAATGG